AACAATGGAAATCTACCTAGTTCTCTCTCTCTCTCTCTCTCTCTCTCTCTCTCACACACACACACACAGGTTCTAAAGCCAGATAAATTTTTAAGGGCCTCAGATATTACTCCAATAAGCCTTTTGTGGATATTAATTTTACAGATGTACAGCAGTGTTAATTAAACATTTCAGTAATAACCAGCAGAGTATAAGAGTGTGAAGAAATACTGAGGGGATAAGGAGACATAATGAGCTTGTAGAGTCTTGGAGCCACATGTGGCTTTACAGATCCTGAGTACAGCCTTTTGACTGAATACAAATTCTAAAGAACAAATCCTTTTAATAAAGCCATTTGTTCTATGACATGTGGATTCATTTAAGGGACTGCACTTAGGAATCTGCAGGGCCACATGTGGCCTTGAAGCTGCAGGTTCCCCACCCCTGACCAAGACCAACCCCTTTTGTTTTGTTGGAGAAACTGAGACCAGGGAAGAAGTTATTTTTCTTTTTAATCAGAACACACAACTAGTGCTAAAAGCCAGGTGTCCTACCTTAAGAATGATGTTCTTGCCAGGGAGGGTAGTGCCCACCTATAGTCTCAGCTACTTGGAAGCCTGAGATAGAGAATCGCTCGACCCCGGGAGTTCAAGGCCAGCCTGGGCAACAGAGTAAGATCCTATCTCTGGCAGAAAGTCCTTTTTTTCCCCCAAGTTTTTTTTGTCAACCTCAGTGACGCCATCCTTCTGGGAAATGTTTAGAACCTAACAGGATAGCTGTGTTGTCTCCGGCTGTATCTTTGTCTTCTGCTTATATTTTTGAGAGGAGACACAATAGAAGAGGACCTTCAGAATGAGATAAGTCCTCCCATTCTAAGGCAGTGCAGTAAGCCCAGCCAGTAGTCCAGAAGGGCACGATGGTATTGAGATGCCTGGAGAGTAGAACAGAATGCCAACCTGCCCTTGTCCCTAGGATCTGCTATTCAATGCATTTGAAGAGAAGGGGGCAATGATACTAGCCCCAAGACGTAGGAAAAAAGCAATCATTGCTGTCATCTGCAATAACTGGGCAGTGGGGACAAAGCAACAGTTTCCAGGAGGAAGCAAAGATGGATTTACCATGAAGCTTAAGCTTCACTAATATGAGCCCTTCTGAGTCCTGGGAGATTTGTTTGCAACTTTGTATTTAGAATTTCATATTTTTTTCTTAAAGAGACCTCCCCAAATTGTATATGCTTAGGCTCTATAAAATTCCTAAGAGTAAGAAGTGCTAAGTAGAATAATGCCCCCTAAAAAGGCTTCAAAAGTGTTAGTGACCTGCCTTGTTAGCTGTTACAAGTCTAAATGACCTCTCTTTGGTCCTCCTTTCCAAATTATACCAGTAAGATTATTGAAAGTTGAAGAGATAATGTTGAAATCTTTATAAGCTAAGTAACAGACCTTTCTTTCATACTAATGTTTAGGATTTCTTTCCTTTGGGTTCATTACAGCACTTAAACAGTTTCTACTGAAATTACTGATCCATCTTTTGAATCACAAGTATAGCGTAAGTAGTAATTATAAAGGAGATATTGACATAAGCTATCCACATATTCATTACATGTTCATGTCTTAGAAACATGATAATGAGGTTAAAAACTCTGAAAATCTTGATTTCTATTTAGATGGAGATTTATCATTATTTGTGAAATATGTCCACCATGGTTTCACTTTAAAACCACAAATAAAGTTTTAACAATGAGTATTTTTCTTATTGAGAGGTCTGTGGTCAGGCTAAACATCTCTCTGAACATGATTAGATCCTGAGGTTTTCAAACTCAATAGATAGAACATTTCTTTGGCCAGAGAAATAATTAAGAACTTCAGAGCTAATGCGGCTCTCCTGAGCCTGCTTCTTTTTTCTGATGGCAAGATAATCATACATAACCTCTTCTAGTGTTGGTCCTCAACATATTTGAGATTGAGGCAGAATAAATCACACACAATCTTTTGAGAATTGAGGTGATTTCACTTTAAGTTTTTATATCAGCAAGGCTTTCATTCGCTAGTACTAAAGTTATAGAAATTTTGTATCTTATTTAATGCTTTTTCCTCACTCTCAATTATCTTGAATCCAGAAAAACAGACACATGGTCATTATGTGAAGACAAAAGACAAAGGAACATTGAATAGTTAATTAGACAATAACTAGAACTGTCCACTGTGTATTCATTCTTGTAACAGATCTCTGGAGGATGAATTAGCATATTTAGTTTGAAATTTTGTAAAATAGAACTGGGATTGTTTGAGCAGTCTCATAGTTTATGTAGTAACCTCATACGTCATGGGGATCTGATTCAAAATAGCACAAGATTCTGAATAATGGGAAAGGGAATGCTTTGTAAATAGTCCACATGAGTTAGGTAACTTTACTGACAAGATGTATTTGACCATGTCTAACATCCATTTTTCCTGCGTAAAAACAGTATCATTGTAATAGCACAGAACACATTTGCTTTCTTAGAATCAAACTCATTTCAAATGATAGGCTGAAAATTAAATATGCAGAAGTCATTGAATTTTTTCTCTAACATTTCCATTGCTGGATGGGACTTCCAGAGGTCACCTAGTTCATCCCGATCTCCAGCCAGGACTCTCCCTAATACTGAATATAGCTGTATAGTGATCTGCATTAAGAAAGCTTTTAGGGATCCCTGGGGTTGGTCAAAAAATAGCTAATATTGGCTTGATTCACAGAACAGCATTATAGGAATGTCAAAATAGCCACCCTCATCAAGGAAGACATCCATCAGGGCTGTTAAGTGCTAGTACTAGCTTCAAAAGGAAAAGCTTTATTTTCTCAGAGGAAAGGGTGGTAGACCAAGGAAAAGACCAAGCAGAGCTGGTATTTTTGTTGTTGTTGTTGTTGTTTAGGTGTCTATTTGAATGCTTATCAAAAAGGAAACACTGTCTGTCAAAGACCACTGCAGGGGAAGCCCAGAGGTGGCTGTAAATGAGCAGATACAAATCCTTTAACAAGTTCTTTCAAATAGCTGCAGAGCTGGAGGTGGGTGGGTGGGGTACACTGTAGTTTTGAACAAAATCTGATTAGCATCAAGTTATTGAAGGGCAGATGGTGAAACATAAGAATAATATTGAAAGACCTACTTTTTAAGTTGTATCTTTTCCCTCTAATCCGCTGAGTTTGTTAGAGCTGATAATTTTATTTCTTCAACTCCATTAAACTGTGGGTACGAAGGATAAGAATGTAAGTGTAATTTGTATCTTCTGAGACAATCACATTGCTCACATTGTTTTATAGGGAAAGTAATCCTTCACAGTTATTTAGACTTCTGAATTATTAGATTTGAAGCATTGGAATCTAAAAATCTAGCCCAAAGGAGAGCTGAGGTTGTTACCTGGATTATTTGGGCCTCTCAGCCTTTCTGTTGAACTAGAAACATAATTTAAAGATCTAGCTATAAAGGGAGGAAAATGATCTATCCCAACAATTATCTCAAGCATCCACTTAATTTTGTGTGTAAATGTAAGATTCTGTATTTCCCCCCATATTTCCTGGTTGCACAAAAGCCTAGTCAACTACAGGTACTTCCAGGGCTAAGAAATGGGAGGTTGGACAGCAATAAGATTAGAGAAGAGGGTTAGCATTTTCCTTTTTTAACCACATATCCTTTTGCCAACTTTCAAATTTTGTCTTTGTACCTCTTCCAAAGATTTCATTTGAAAATATTTCATTTTGAAGATAAGAATGCCACTGCCTGTGCTTTCTCTCAGCCAGAAGCTCAGAAGAGGAAAGAAAGCTCTGACCACCGGCCTCTCAGCTTCCTTGCTAGCTCTTGACTTTGGAAATAGGAATTCAGCCACTGAGAAAGTTTTGATGTGTAGCTGCCTTTCTCAGAGAACACTAACCAGGTCTTCAGGTCATCTTTTCTCTTCCTTTTGTGAGGACAGAAGACGAAAGAACATGAAGATCTCCCTTAAGTTTCTTGGCTTTATAACATTCCCACAGTGAGTACCTAACACTGTGGGGGGGTGCAGTTTCCACACCCACCATAAAACTAAGGCACTTGGCAGAGTACTTTCTTCCTCGTAAACTGCTCAGATAACTGTCCATAACTTGCTGTATATGTTCACAATCTATAAGAAGTGTTACTTTTAAAAGTTACCTGTGTAAACCAACTCTCATAGCACAATTAAGAAATTCCAAATAGAGGAAACAACTTTAAAGAATGAGAATCAAGATGAAAAGAGAATGAGGAAAATAATAGCATATTCTATCATTTTTATTACAAAGAAGTTAAAATCCTTTACATGCTATGACATTGAATGCCATATATAAGTTCATTGCAGGCAAACTTTTTAAAAAATATACATAATGTATATATTTACATTCAAGGTTGAATAACTAATGTCAAGGTGTGGTTCAGGTTCGAATCTTTACCCACCCTGAGGATTTGCTCAGCTAGTAACTACAAACAGCGATTGTATCTTCACTTAGGCACACGGAGAGGTAGAAACTGCTTTTGACAGAACAAAAACCAATCTGGAGTGCAAATATAAAGATCATCATTGAAGCAGCTTAGCTACATCAAGGAGACTCTAACTAGCTTTGGTCATCTCAAGAAGCTGAATACATGTAGCCTTGTCCTTTAAATTAAAACCAGAAAAACTGGGCAGGTGTTCTTCTGAGCACATCAGAGGGTTGGCAAAACTCAGCAACTAAAGGTCTGCCACTCTGTACCCAAGAATTGCATATGACTAAGTTAGGCAACATAGCAGTGGAGCTGGGCTGGCAGCTGGACACTTTTTCCCTGATAGGGCACAAAAATATACCCAAACAAGTGGCTTGCAAGATAGCAAATTAATACCTGTACATACAGCCTAGAACTCAGAAGCCAACTAAGATACTTCATTTGAAATCCCTCGTCCACCTCCATCTTAAACTGAGCTTCTAAGTCTAGATGGGGCTGGGGGCGGCCTGTGACTTCTTCAGGCCAAGGTTCCTCAGGCTCAATATTGGACTCAGGAAAGCTCTTGGGCTCCGGAAGGGCTCCCGGGGTTCTTGCCAGACTTAGTGGGGCTTGTTCCAGAAAGGGGAAGTTGGAGAGAGGCCACAGGGGTGGCTGTAGCCAGAAGCCCTTCTCGTTCCCTTTTCTTCTGTTTCATCCTGCGGTTCTGAAACCAGATTTTGACTTGGGTGTCATTCAGCTGCAAGCAGTTGGCGATCTCCATGCGTCGGGCTCGAGTTAAGTACTTATTGAAATGAAACTCTTTTTCCAGTTCTGTCAGTTGCTTGGTGCTGAAATTCGTGCGGATCGCGCTGGAAGGGCTAGTAACTCCATACTCCAATTTGCCTGCAACATAAAGACAGGACGTCAGCGGGGCAAGTTGACACCGAGACGGAATGTAAGCGACCAGTGGAGCTAGAGTTAGAATCAAAGTCGCAGCACAGCCCTCCTGGGTCTCTACGAACACAGTTGCGCCAGGAGAAACACTCCGTGGAAAGTTCTTTTATATAATTTTCTAAGTGCCTGGCAAGTTTTCCGAGCCTGGACTCGAGGCACGCCCGATGAAATTCGCCTGCTTTAATAATGCCCAGGCACGCATTTCCTGCATAAAACCCAAACTGTTGTATTAGAAGGACAGCGGCAAGGCGCTCCAGTGCGCTTCCGCGAAGGAGACTCGATTCCCAACCCCTGGTGCCTCCATCCAAGGCCCACAACTTACTTTTCTTAGGGGCATTCCTCTTCACTTTCATCCATTCAAACGTGCTGAAGGCGGCGGGGAGGCCAGAGGCAGGAGAGACGGACTTGGGATAGGCCCCAGGGGCTGGGGACGCGGTCTGGAAGGCCCCTGGGCGGCCGTCGGCTGGCTCTTTGAGACACGCGGGGAAGGGGCCAGGCTCAGCGAAAGAAGCGTAGTCCACCTGGCCGCTGAGGAGGAAGGAGCCGCCGCCAGAGAAGACCGCTGAGGTGGCGTAATGGACGTGCCCGTCGTTGGCTGGCCGCCCGAGAGCGCCAGAGAAGTCGTACGCGGGCCCGGACCCCAGGAAGCCAAAGTCAGCGCCCCCCGCCGCTGCTGCCGCAGCAGGTGCGCCGCCCGGCTCGTAGGCACCCTCCAGGGTGCACGGCGCGTACCCGGGCGCGGCCGGGGGCTGCACGGGTGGCTGCTCCGGGGCAGCCGAGGGAGCAGGCGCAGGTCGGGCGGCGGCCAGGGGCAGACAGCTGACAAAGGCGCCATCGCTGCTGCCCAGGGGGAATGCGGGCTGCAGGGCCACAGGTCGGGCATCGGCGCGGCAGAACTTGGGTGCGAAGCTGAGCACTTCGCCACTGATCCCGCCGCTGCACGATACGTACTCCAGGTAGGAACTCATGGTTGTAGGCAGTCCTCCCGAGGGCTCGGGCCAAGGCTAGGGTGTAGAATCTGGCAAGAGCTGGGCGAGACCACCGTGGTCTGCGCCGTTCTACCGTCCCTTTCTACCCCAGCTGCCCTTGCCAAGCCATGGCGAGCTAGCGGGAGGTAAATAGTGGCCTAATATACCCGCGGGGGCGACCACGTGCTGCTAGCTAGCCAATCCGCGGCTTCCCCGCACGGACCGGTTTCCACAGGCGCGCGGCTCCTGGAGCCTGTCCGGCTGCCAACTTAGTCAAACCCCGCACGGGCCACCGCCTGACTCTCCCAGGAGCTGCCTGGGGAAAGGCGGGGCAGAGCGCAGGAAGCCTCCTCCCCAGACAGTCGGGGTTGGGGGAGAAAGGCAGGACTGGCGGCTTGGGTGACGGCGGGGGCGGGGAGGGAGAGAGGGCTTCTTCCATCCTTCTGCATCCTGGGTGACCTGCCCCTTGGTGAGGATTGTAGGCACCACGGCGTGGAAGGGGTTAAACGGGAGCATGGGACTCCGCCGGTGGGGACTGTTCCTAGTCCTTCTCCAGAGAAGGTAAAGTTATTCCTCTTCCTTTTCTGAGTCTTCTGAGCCGTCAGTTTCTTGGCACTAATGTTACCCCCCTCTCAAGCCTAGAGCAGATGTTTGGTTTTCCTCCCCCCTCTTTCCCTACGACTCGTGGGACTACATTTTATGTTACAAGCGCTGTATGCCTAGGACAGGACGAAATCTTCACTTTTTGACTATGTTTTCATTCCCTTCAGCTTCTTCCATCTCTCGCAGTTTGTGGAGGCGTGATGAGGGTGGGTGTTGTAGTGCCAGGTTTTGATTTGGACAGAATAGTTTCTGTCTCGTGGGGACCTTAAGCAGACCAGATTGTCAGAATAAAGAATCCACCGTCGTGGTGGTTCATGGTCGCGTTTCTATTTGGGAGGCTGGAACAGGCACGGGTGCTTGCACACGCTTTGAACGAGAAGCTTGACAGAGGGGTGCAAAGGCTTCCCAGGGATGCGTCACGTCTTGGAGGTTTGGACGGGCTTATATCTCAAAGCAATTAAAGCTTTTCCATCAGATAAGTGCTGTGTGGTCTCTTGCGGGTGAAATCTGAGGGCTCACTATGTTAATGGGCTCAACGCCTTTCCCTTGATAATAGGGTTTTGTTTACTGAGTATAAAGACGGGAAATAAAAGTGCAATTGGCACAGGAAATGAAGAGTAGAAAGGTTACAAAGACAAGCTGTACATTGACAAACTTCCCAACTTCTCTGAGTATATCTTGTAATGTTTCCTTCTTTAGGGTTACAAAAAAATAAACAGAAGTTATTTACACACAGTACTAATGAAAGATGGTGGTTTCCAAAAACCCTTTGTGAATGAAGACTCTTTAATCTACTTGTAGCTTATTCAAGTGCCATTGAAAACTTGATCTGTTACAGCCTCTAAATTATGGCGAGCTAGGTTTTACTGATACACTTGTCATAAAAGAGCGACTGAGCCCTTGCCTAAAATTCCACACTAAGGAAATCTGGAGAATAGGAGACATCACAGTCCAGGAAAGAATTTCCTTACAGGGATGTGGACTTGTGAATAAACCAAGCCAAAAGTGTGTACTGCTGGTGAGCCTGAAGTTGAGCCAAGATAGGGAAGGGTGGGGGTGGACACCTAGGAATGAGGTCAAAATGCTAAAGGGCTTTATGGTTCTTCCACTACCAAAGTCCTTGAGTTTGACCGTGAGATGGAATCCTATGCTGAAAATGGCCCTTCAAGTTTGATTTTGCTACTCAGTTTTTTCCTTTATCTAATCAAATGACAAAGCTCCTAAACAGTTTTTAAGAGAAAAATAAAAGTTCTTCTCTAGCATCCTGGTCAGGAAATGATGGAGATCTTCAGAGCTAGCTTAGCCTTCAAGTGCAGATGTGTGTATTCACTGCCCTTCTTCTATCCCATTATTGCAGTAGTATCAGCAGATAAGATGATGTTGGTACTGAGTTCACAATGCCCCCTCCTCCCTCACTGGCTAGATTGTAGTGGCCAGTTTTTACTGCAAGTTGTCCCAGTTCTCACAATCCTCTCTCATATGGTACTTGTCCTATCACATACAAGTCCTCCTAGGCTCAGAGGCCCCATGGATGAAGGAGGAAGGTGGCCTTGGTAAACCTCTTTGGGGAGTACATCCTGGTGTCTGCAACCCAGGGGTTAAGATAGAAAAGCCAGACTGATTGTCTGGCAAGTCTGAGCAAAACCTATCTGATTAAAGGCCTTTTCTTTAAGGTTTCAGAAAAAACAGGCAGCTTACATGCTTTGACAACCTTCATGGCAACAAAGACTAGCTTTTTGCTGCTGTGAGTTTGGGGCAACATGTGTAGCCCTGTAATGTCCTGAAATGTTATATATATATATATATATATGAATAAAAAAAGGTTTTTAGCAAAGTTAGGTTCTTCCCAATACAATTAAGCCTTGACTTTGATGTCCCCATGAGCTATCCACACAATTTCCCTCAAGCACAAATTTTGGAGATTTAGCCTAAGGGAAGAAAATGTCCTAAAAGAGTGTTTTTTAGAATACTTTTTCAGGCCCAATAGCAGTTTGCTCATAATTTGCACACAAAAAGCTACATTCTGTTGATCCTACTCTCCATTCTCTTTAATCCCTAAATTCATGGCATATGCCACATCTTGGGGCTCAGAGTGGACCTATGACAAGGAGCTCCACTCCTGGGCTGCTTCTTCGCGTACTAAGGTCGGAAGTCAAGACTCTGGTCATGCTGGCTGCAGTGGCTCATGTCTGAAATCCCAGCACTTGGGAGACTGAGGACGGTGGATTGCCTGAGCTCACACATTTGAGACCAGCCTGAGCCAGAACAAGACCCTGTCTCTAAAACTAGCCGGGTATCATGGTGGGCGTCTGTAGTCCTAGCTGCTTGGGAGGCTGAGGCAAGAGAATTACTTAAGCCCAGGAGTTTGAAGTTGCCGTGGGCTGTGATACCACAGCACTCTACTGAGGGTGACAAAGTGATACTCTGTCTCAAAAAAAAAAAAAAAAAAGATTCTGGTCATCTCATACTCAGATTGCAAGGACTTCCTGTAGAAGGACATTTTCCCAGGGGAAGTTAAGGCTAGGGAGAAAGACATTCTCAAGCCAAAGGAACAAAAGATTCATTTCTGACACAAGTCTTAACTATACTATAAATCTACGTTAGAATAATCTTAATCTATAATTCTCTAAGGAGATACTAGAAGATTGTTATTTAGGGAAAATGAAGGAAGATGTGAATATGTTAGGATATTTTCTGTAACTTTAAGTTTGTCTCTTAGATGTTCACAGGGTATAGGAGAAATGTCTTATTAATTTTATTACTTGTTAAGCCCTGACTTCCCAAGGGTCACTTGCTCTTCTGGGTCCTGGTGCTGAGTTCTCCATGGGGGTGATAGCACAGGGGCCAGGATGCCAGGTGGTATTTATTGTCAGAATGCTTTGAGATCTTTTCCATCCTGCTCACCACAGCAGCCATTCCCTACCCACTCCCTTTCTTTCCCATTCTAATAATAAACTTCATTTCTTTTCTGCAGACAGAAGTGATGGAGGGTGGCAATCTGGTCTTCTATGTGTTGAAAGTTGTTCCCAAGAAGCCCCTGGAAACTCCTCTCCACAAGCCAAGTGGTGTTTGCCCATTGGACACACTTGAGCACATTGAAACTCATGGCTACATAACCCTAAAGTATAGGAATTTCTTTGGAGGGTATCATTTCTTTTAAGACACATTAAGAGAAAATTCAGAAGAAGACAGTTCTCTATAGCATTCTTCTTTCATCCTAGGATGGAGGTGGAGATGAAAGGGGTTCTAAGGACAGGAATTTTAAACCTGTTGTAAGTCTGATAACGTGAATCACCATAGAACCTTGTTTAAAAGTTCAGGTTCTGGCAGGCACAGCGGCTCACACCTGTAATCCCCGGCACTGAGGCTGAAGTGGGAGGATTGCTGGAGCTTGGGAATGTGAAGTTTCAGTGAGTTATGATTGTGCAGTGGGTGACAGTCTTTTTTAAAAAGTCAAGTTCCTTGGCCTATCCCCAGAAATTTTAATCCAATAGGTCTGACTCAGGAAATCTTTATTTTTAACAAGCCTTTTAGGTTGTTAAAGCAAAGTTCTTCAGAACTATACTTTGAAATTTTCTGCTTTGAGAGTTGAGGTGAGGAGGGGGCAGTATGGGAAGAAAGTTGTTTCTGTGGGAGGGACCATGAATGAGAGGAGGTCATGGCTAGCTGGCCTATAAGTATCCAGAAAAGTGTCCAGAAGTCTATTGGATGGCAGGGAACAGAGGTCCATGTCAAGATGAATCTTAAAGTCCAATTGGGCTGAAGTTCCAGAAAATATCCTTAGGAAGAGTTTAGCAGAAAGTTTCCCAAGTTTGCTGACCAATTAGTGCTTTGCAGAGACAGCTCACTCCTGGCTGCTTCGCTAAATCTTGACTTCCACGATGCCAGAATGGTGGGAATGGAAAGAGATTTATCTCTTCCAGTATCTTTAAAGAAAATTTCAAGTGGTTCTGAGGCAATGGGAAGAAGGAAGGAGTCAGAATGGGGATCTCAAGAGGGAGGATTCAACTCTCTTTTTTCTTTCCATCTGTTGCAAATTGTTTGGAATGTGCATGTTAGCCCTAGGGATCTAGAGAAGGCCAAATGTCCTTTGCCCTACGCTGTAACTCTTCCTCTGGCTAAAAGCTGACCTTTCACAGCCTAGGATGTCAAAGCTAGAAGGCACCGTAGAGATAAGCTACATCAAACCCCTGATTTTAGAGGGAGTCGTTTATTCGGAGGTTAAATGGCAAATCCATCCTGCAAAAATGAGGGAACCACCTTGGTTCTCCTGACTACACACTCCACAATCCTGCCTTTCTATGACCTGCAAAGAGGGAGAGATAAGGCAGCCACTCTGTATGCTGTGGCAGGCCTCCACCCTGAACAAGCAGAGCAGTATTCAAGGAGACACCCTC